GCTTAAGAATCCAAGACAGGGTTCTACTCAAATATGTGCGACAAATGGTTTCTTGGGAACAATGACGATATTGAACGAATACATTTCCGCTCAATGACGTTTTACCGGTCAGTTAAACATAACATTTCAGCTGGTTAATAAGCCGAGAAACGCATCCGATTATAAATCAGTGCGGGAAATGAGTGTAAACACAGCATCTATCAATCCTCATTTGAATTGAGTCTGACAACCTGAATGATTCAAATTTCGACGAAAATCATTCACCATGAATAAATATCAAATTGGTAGTCTCAAGTGTCAAGATGGAGAGCGATAATATAAGCTAAATATTTTGTTTAAAATGTGTCATTACATATCTTGTCTCATTTGGAGGAGAATGAAATGGTACTGATTTCCAAGAGGTACCTCTAACTTGGTAGCTCTAAATTTTTGGTAAATATATTTTAAGCCTCAAATTTTTGAACATATAGCGCAATTAACTGCTTGAATCTTCTACAATGTTTCTACCTACCAATTTCTCCTATGACTATTAATGTAAGTAACCTAGAGGTCAGATATTCTCTCATACGCACCCTTATACATTTAAGACTATCTAACTATCTTTTTCGTGACAATTAGTATATTAAGGCTATTTATCTTCTACTCAAAAGACTTGATAAGGAAATTAAACAATGCTATCGTATAATAAATTTGTTGCAATGTGTTCAAACTATCTTGTCCCACTTTTCTACATTATTTGCAACTGCATGGATATAATATGTCTATGGAAATTCAAAACAAAGCAAATTAATTAAACCACAGGTGATATTGAATTTGTGCCAATAAGTTAAACAATTTTGAAAATTGAAAAATTAATTCATTTTTTTACTTCAACTAACAACGTTTTGAAAAACCGTTAAGTCAACAATAAAACCCCTTCCGCACAAACAAAAACAACTGAGAATTCAACATTTCTGCAATGCGGGGTCGTTTGTTAATGTGCAAGCAGAGGGTAAAACATCGAGTGAATTCACATTTCGCTCAAACACCTGAACCGTGATGTTTGGTTGTGTAAGAGCAATCGCGTCGAATAAAATTTTAAGTTCTTTTGATTGATGTGGGCAATACAAGCTTTTATAAACAAAATACAAATACTATATTCGTAAAAAAACCTTCGAAACATTGTTATTTAAGAATATTTTACCTAACCCGCCATGTTATACTTCCCTATCCCAAGCGTGATGTATATAACTTCCTTACTTCTCAAGTGATGTAAAGTATCAAAAACTCACTCGGTGATGTAAAGAAACCCATTTAAATAACATTGAGTGCTTAACTTAAAAAATATACCTCTATGGAGCCAACGACGTTCAACGCTAGAAATCAGCTGTGCGCTTGAATGTTATTGTTATGCTTTAAAGTATTTTCCTAACCTAGCTTTTGTTTGTAAAAGAACGTTACTGATAGAAGATGAGTGAAATGGATAATGAAAAATATTGTACGTAAACCCATGTATATTGTCGGGTCAGGTAAAATCTTGTACGTTACACGTTACGCAAGAGCGTGTTTACATCACTTAGGTGAATTATGCAACTCGCTTAGGCTCGTTGCACAACATTCACCTGCGTGATGTAAAAACGCTCTTACTACACTTGTAATGTAAATAGCTATTACCTAAGCTTGGTTAAATTAAATTTATTTTTACTTTCATACCTTAGAAATAAATAATCTACGTAAAAAACATGTTGAGTTGAAATTGGATGAAAAGAAAAATACCCCCGTCGCAGCAAACCTGCAGACTACGCGAATTTCATTTACCTGGCTGGGTTTCTACTAAAGTATTCCCTAAAAATTGTCAGATTTATTTATTATTTAATTAACATTAATTGTAGTGAGTACTTAGGTTTGCTGCTACAGGGAAGATATTGAGATGTGTTTTTTATTGAATAGCCGATAGCTTAGTATTAAATAAACCAAATTGGTTTTAAATATATCCAAAACAAGGAAATTATAACAGTTTATTTATTCTCCATAAGAATAAAATGGGAATTTTAATTTTACAATTGTTTATATTATCTTTACGGTTCAATATACAAAACTATTTCGTGTTTCAAGCTCCACAAAATTGTTTGGAGAGAAATTATGAAATTTTGTGTGTTTAGTGTCAAAAATGGGGAAAATAAATTATTGATCCCTTAAAACCCCCTATAAACCCCCGTTCTCATAGTCCGATTATGCAGGTTCGCGAACTCGTTAAGAAAACTTTAAGGTATGTTGTTATTAGGCAACACTTGAGTTAATTGATTCCTTTTCCCTATAATAATATGTTTTACCGAATTTCCCACTAGGAATAAGCTATTACAGTTGGTAAGACTTGGACCCGGGACTGACTTTAATCTTTATTTTGGTGTTCCCAGAGTCAAAAACACCATCCGTTCAAATTATATATATATACATATTTCGATTCTTTGAATAATTGGCGTTTTTACCTACAAATCCCGCTATATAAATTTCGCTTGAACGCCACAACGAGGAACCTCGCCACTTCTGGCATAATTTGTAAACCTACTCCATTTGCAGCTCTGTAGCTGACACGTACCACAGAAAACGTACTACTATAGTAGTACGTTTTCTGTGCACGTACGCTTCGATACGTGTTTTTAAACATTTTAAAACTATCGAACCTCCCACCTCATGCCAGATAAGGTCAGTGATACTTTTTTTATTACAAACATATCCGATGCCGACATTTATCTGTAGACGACTGAAGGCTATGGTTCGAATGCAATGAGTGAGGATAAAGTGCGGAAATGGATTATGGAGTGTTAAAATGACCGTGAAATCCCTTTTCTTGTATGATATTCTGTGAAAATGAAAAGTGTGTGTACCCATTAAAAACACTATTCATTTAGAAATGAACAAATTAATGGCCATTTTTAAACTCCTAGCCTATTTCAGCACTTCCTCCGCTGAGGTTTAAAGCATACGTTTGGGGTTTAAAGCATATCAGATTCGGTCACTCGAAGTGACCGGATAAGAGGGGGACTACTGTTTAAAGACTATTTAATTTTTTAACATGATACATTCATTCCACTCTCATCCTAAACTTATCTGCGCCTTAACCCTTCAACGCGCGAGTTTTTTTAATAAAGACCAACCCTGCTGCGTGGGTTTTTTAGGCTTTCCAGCAGGCTCGGAACATTTGTACAATATTAAACTTTACTCATCTGGGCCTTATACTACACACTCTGGTGCGGCCGCACTATCACCAGATGATACCAACCCTCCAAGAAGAATGTTTATTCCTCCATGCAGTGGAGCCACGTGACTCATGTTCCGGTGGGAGACGTGGGAGAAACCATGGGTGACTGACAGAAGAGAAGCGGTGGAGGCGACAGGTCGGATCATGATGACGAAGATGGAGTCCTCGGAAGGACCATGGCGAGATGGCGAGGAGTCGCAGGTAGATACCAAGGGCAAGTTTCAGCTTAGAGTGGTAGTAACCCTACATGGCAAGGGTGGAAGTAGTGTGAACGAAAGCTGCTCTAAGTATTGGATGGATATAAAAAAATGCGATGAAATGGTAATTTTTAGTGACACTGTAAGATGTTGATCGTTGCTACAATTTTCTCGCAAAACGAAAACTGTAAATAGAAGACTTTAAAGATCACAAATTTCTTTCGTTTGAAATACATATTTATTATTGATTGATTTATTCATGTTTCTTCTAGCCTGTGAAGTGTAGTATTAGAAATTAATGTTTCACCTATTGTACAATGTTTGGTAAATCAGTGCAGCGAACTAATAAATATTGACTCACGAATTATTGAAGGATAAGAAAGAAATTATTTATAAATTGATGTTATCGATTTAGTTGAAGCAGTTTAACGTTGTGAAAATATCTTTATCGGTGTCTGTGACTGAAATTACAACATCTTTTAAAGTTTTATCATAGAGCTACAATCAATTGACATATCATGAAATAGCGATATGGTCCTGCTCGTTTAAAGCAAACGTTTAACTCCCAAACGTCGATTATGTGTAAATTAGTTCCGATAGAACTTTAGTTCACATACACTGAATGGCGGGTGGTAAGATTAAAGGCACTGAAAACAACAATGTCAAATTTCAAGGTCACACAGCAAAGACACGACACAACCGTAAGGCTCTAGAAGGCACTGATAACACTCAAGGTCACAGCTAGGTCACACAGTGAAAGGCACGGCACGACTGGCTGTAGCTGGCTTACCTGAGGCGATCCATAGCCTCGCGTGAGGCTAGTATCGACCTGTTGTAATGAGGCTAGTCCTCGCCGACACCGCCACACCGTGTATCACACGATGTACGATGCGAATGTGAGATTTACGATGAAAAATGTAACATTAGCCATATAAGAGTATTTACAAAAAACTATGTTCAATGTACAATGTCTGGTGTAATATGAGTAATGCACTTTGCTTGATTGTAATGGTTTACAATATAATGGTCTAAGATGAGCGATGTATTGTATGAAATTCATGATGTATCATGAAGTAGCATCTACGGTGAATGTACTATGACGACGTTTGATGTACGTTCTTCGATATAATAGTATTTAATGGGAGATGATTGATTTTAGCTGTACGATGCACCATGCACAATTTTAGTGGTGTACGATTTATGATATATGACATGCGCTATACGATGATAATTTAAATTTACGATTCATGATTTTTGCCCATGTGATATTAGATTTTTTGGTATCTCACAACTGCCTCATCCTACCCAATAGCCTGTATTTAATATTTTGTTATTGCAGTAATTATACATTTTTATTTACTTAGGATTCTTTGAGTCTTACTAATGTAAATACCAATTATGCACTTGATTTGGATAGCTTAGTTTATTTAAAACTGAACTTAAAATGTGTTTCATTCTAATCAGTGCTTCTATCTGTAGGATGTCTGATTTAGATGTGAGCAGGGCTACAATTAAAAATGTCGCACTCTTGCTCACTGTACATTTTTTATTTATTTGTTCAGATGAGTGTCCAGAGTGCTGTGCCTCGTCTCAGGACTGTAGTTACTTTAGGGTGTATTGTTCTGGTCTGCGTCTTCTACTGGGACGTCATCATTCTCAACAAACTCTACAAATTTAGACGTGCAGCGTCAGCCTCTGGTCTCAAGTAAGTAGTTAGTTTTAAACCAAGCATATTGCTTGGTAACAAATCGTGGTATGTTTGATATTTGTAATGAATACAGAAAATTTCTCTTGACTTAAGTACAAGATATTTAATGTACAGATTTAATTTAATGTAAAAATTAAAAGTAAAGACACTTTCTGAAGATCAGAAGACTTCAGAAGACAATTTCTGATTACCCATCTGGGTCTCGCATTATCTAATTGATTGATGTTCAAATTAAGTAAACATCTTTTGTTGATAGCTCAATTCATACACATGAATACTACCACCTCTATATGTCTTGCCCATCATTCCCTATATTAGACTGAACCCAGAATTATTTTTTGGAAAAATACGCAAGGAGTATTATAATACAGCTTTATTTTACGTGAATTGAGAGAGATAAAATAATCTGCCACAAAATAATCTGAATACCTTCCAAGCTAACTAATATTTTACTGAGCTGGTTGTGTAAATAAACTTTTACTTTGCAGAGATCCTTCTTTCGGATTGTCCTGGGAGTGTGTGGAAGGAGACTATGGGATAAAAGTGTGCCAGAAAGTTATGAAAGAACAATCATCCTCATCGATGTCCCTCCTATCTTGCCAGATGACTTGTTCTCCAGGAAGAAACATTTGGCCGACACCCACAGGGGAAGTAAGAATATCCAACACTACCGCGTCGTTCCACCCAAGAAATCTGAATATAGAATTTGAACCTGTCAATAATCTTGATCTTGCCATTCTGCTCAAGAAGGCTGCAATACGTTTTCAAGAGAGAATTGTAAACATGGCGACGAATTCACACGCTCGTCCAACAGTAATGGCAGTAAACGTTGATATTAACGTTAACTCAAACAAATCAGAGGGTTCCAAAATAAACATCGACGAAAGCTATAAAATTATTATCGCCCAAAAAGGATTGATCTTGAACGCAATAATCCTAGCCTCGTCGTTTCAAGGAGCTCACCATGGACTGGAAACATTGACTCAACTTATTTGGTGGGAAGAAGATGATCACATTTTAAAGATTATGAATAGTGTTGTCATCAGTGACTCTCCAATATTTACGTATCGTGGTTTAATGCTGGACACAAGTAATGATTTCATTCCTGTTGCATCCATTTTAGACACTGTTAATGCCATGTCTATGAGTAAGTTGAATGTCTTTCATTGGCATCTAACGGGATCAAAAGGGTTTCCTTATGAATCAAAGAGTTTTACAAAGTTTACAAGTGGGGTGCCCTCTAAGGAAGTTTATACAGTTAAGGATGTTGAAAATGTGGCAAAGTTTTCTGAGGAACGAGGAGTGACAGTATTGGTGGAAATCGACTTTCCGTCTCACAACAGTCAAGGATGGGATTGGGGTGAATCAGAAGGTAAAGGGAATCTTTCATTGTGTTTAAACGCTCAACCATTTTCGGAATTCTGCGCAGAACCACCCTGTGGTCAAATAAACCCAACAAACAAAAACACCTTTTCAGTTCTCGTTGAATTAATAAAGGAGCTCAAACAAGCAACAAAATCGGGTTTAGTTCATCTTGGAGGAGATGAAGTGGATTTCCGATGTTGGGAAAGCTCCGAAGAAGTGACAAACTTCGACGTATACATAAAAAAAGGTGTAATCGGAGTCTGGGAGCACTTTTATAAAACATTGTTGAACGAAATGAAAAACGAAGTAAACGTGAAAAATGTTATTCTATGGTCCAATGATTTCCTAGAGGAATCAGATTTCTGGAAGACGGTCAAACAAGTTACTCCCATAGTTCAATCGAAAGGTCCTTCTACGTCCGGAGAGCTTGAGAGACTGGTGAAGAAGAAGTTCAATGTAATAGTGTCTTCGAGCGACGCCTGGGATCTTACTCAGCCTCAGCCGTGGATGCCGGTGTACAACTATCATCCGTGGTCCGAGTTGAGCCAGGTTGACAGAAGATTCGTTCTTGGAGGTTGTGCTATTGTATTCACAGACCTTGTAGATCACCACTCTCTCCGGCCCACAGTTTGGCCTGCAGCCGCCGCCATGGCAGAGCGACTTTGGACAGATCCATCGCCCAACAACCCCATGGACCGCCTGGCAATGTTTAGGGAGAGGCTGGAACTTCTTGGGGTGAAGAGCTCTCCAGTTGCACCTCAATGGTGCTTACAAAACCCTGGCCAATGTTTGTGAGAGTGTTACTCAATTGTAGAGGAAATTGTAGAGGAGACTTAGACAGGAGTGGACATTCAACGTAAAAGTTTCGCTTGGATTCTGTTGGTGTTCTATTTTTATTACTTGAAGAAAAAAAACACTAGATCATGTAATATTAAAAAAAAGTCGGGCAAGGTTAATGTTCCTTTTAAATAGCTATAGAAAATTAGTACTATTCCAAATTACTGACATTATTTAATCTAACTACACTTCAAACTAAAAAATTTTTATTTGTGCAACTAGTGAGCAATGTGAGCAATTGACTCACTCAAGAGGAGGAATGGTTTCTCGAGTGAGGCACTTGCACTTTGCACTCGAGTTGCACATTATATTTTTCATACAGATTACCATAAAACAAATAAATTGGTAAAGAAACGTAACATATTTGTACACAGACATGAACTTTTAATATGAAATTTAATGATACAACAGTACAACAGCTGACCAGCTGATTTACAGCCAGTGCTGCCAACGTATTTCGCGCGCACACGACCTTGTCTGCTTGTTACGCGCTCACTATTTCGTGCCTTCACGTTGCAAATCTGGAGTGAGCCAAAGTAATTAGAGTCAGACAATGTTAACATTGTCTCACTGATGAGCAAATTGGCCACTTTGCTTTCTCAAATCAGTGAGAGAACATGTACATTGTTAGGTAACTGTAGGAAAAATCATTTTCTTCCTCTTTATCACATCCGATTCTGATTTAGCGGAATTACAGGAAATGTGATGTTGTATATATTATTTGGTATTGTATCCGTTGTTGTTGTTGTTGTTGTACGTTATGACATTGAATTTTGGATACAGAAGTATTATTAGTCAAAAGTTTTGGTTAATTAAAGATAACAAATTCTGAAAAATCAACATATACAGTATAAAATTGTTAAAATGGAATTTGCCAAAATGTGTTTTAATATACTTTACTTTGTTTTGTGACTTTATTTACTTTAAAACATCTAAACAATCGTTTTCAAGGGGAGTGATGCTTTCTTTCTCTTTCATTGCCCTTGTACTTTTTTAATATAATTTTCCGCTAAAATAATGCTATTTGTTAAATTGTTTCTTCTTTAACGAGGTTACGTTAAACATTAATACAATCCAATTCACAATAACAAGCATTATAGGGTATCCCTTTCACCATAATTGCTCAGATATATTTAAAATGAAATGGTTGAACAACATTTCGTTAAACTGCCATCCTAACTTTGGAATGCTAATAACATCATATATTTGTGGTAATTAAATATTCAAGTAAACTTTTCAAATTAGGGAAGATTCTTTACATTTTTACAAGTTTAGGATTAACACCAAAAGATAATCGGACAGCTGAATGGCCACTTTCCAGTAAAATTAGGAACTTAGTGTAAATCTCCGTTCTAGCTTACATTATTAAGAAAAAACTTGGAGAAGATCGTGAAAGTTTGTTAAGTTATGTTTGTACTTATTTATATTTTTTGATATTTTTATTAGTTATATTTAAGAAACGTATTTGAGTACACATTTCGGACCAGAAATATTTTACACGTAGACGCCGGAAGTAGTTTGAGTTTTATAAATAAAGTTAACCTGTGTTTAATTTGTAAGATGTTTTTATGCATATAAATGACCTATTTAACTTTCTCCCAGGATCTTTAAAACTTAAGCTGATTTTTCCTGAACTAAAAAAATATAAATCAAATTTTATTACCTATGTTTAAAATTAATTAATGGGACGACAGGATGTAAATATCATCGTCATATATAAAATTACGAACAGTTGTTTCGATAAAGAAACTTTTTATAACTGTCACTGATATGTTAATGAAAATTAATATTTATAGAATAATTGTTTTTAATTAAATAAAAAAAAAAACATTCAAATAGTTAAATCTAACAGATAAAAAATGAAGTGGAAAGCTCTATAGTTTTGTTCAAACGCCTTTGTACAATTTAAATGTCTACAATCGGAAGAGTTGATCAGTGGAGTAAAATGGACTACATTGCCTCTAATCACGTTATTGACATTCCCCATTCACACTTTGATCTTGACAATTGCCATACCGTTTGAAAGAAAATATACTTAAAGAAAATATACAATAACTATGAAGCTTTTAGTCATGTATTTTATCCATAGAGGTGTTGTATTTTTTATAATCTATTTAAAAAAATGTTAACCGAGTACCGAGTAGAAAAACTCAAGATACGATTTTACAAATTCATCAACATAATGAAAAAAATTAAGGAATGGGTACAATTTGTTCATATTTAATCCTTACATAATGCAGAGGTAGGCACTAAGTGTTAAGCATGTGACCAATTTGGGGGAAACAAATGATTTTTTGAGAAAATCAACGTAATAATTTTTGGGGAACTTTAATTAAGAAAACCTATGTGCAAGTTCTTATTTTTCCAGGCAAAATACCAAGGTAAAAGAAGAAATGGGTAAACAATTTAGAAATTTTAAACATACTGATTTACGCGTTTATAATTTCAACATTACCAATTTAAAGATTGTGACCAATTTTTTGTAAGTGAATAAGAAAACCTCCATGATAGAATATCATAATTTCATGATTCATTTAGATTTATTTTTGCATACGATAGTTTTTATTTAACTTACTAAACCGTCTTGCAATTAATGAAAAGTTGTTACATGTATACTTTTTGAACAATTATTATTAATCATCTAGTTTAATGCTAGTAGTTCAATGGATATTACTTGTAGTTATTGAAATATATTACCTTAATATCTAGAAATTTGCTTCAGCTGATTTAAGGATGAAGATTTTAAAGGGGAATATCCATGGAATCATCTATTCTCCTCTTTAACATGCGATTGTTTCATTGTCAATTCCAAGTTTGTTGTTATTCCCAAAGACCTCAAACTTTAAGTGACAACTTTAATTACATTAATCAAACTTGGAAGTTACCAAGTATAAGACGTGCATGACTTGGTTTGTAAAGTCGTATCAAAGTTTTATTTTAAACTGGTATATTTTCTTTTTAATATATTTTAGATTAGCTTAAACCATACAATGCTGGGGGGATGTAGTGTTTGCCTTTCAATCCGAAGGTTGCCGGTTTGATCCTGAGCAAAGTAAACAAAATATTTAATAGTTGTAAGCTGGACCCAGCTTTCCTTGATAATTGAGTTAAAAAAATAAACCATCTGATCTTTGACAATAAAAAGCTGTAATATAATTTATTGGATGGCCACCGTTCATTGTTCCTTGCCTGAAAATACGGACACCGTTGTGTCATCGTAGTAAAAATCGAATTAAATTAATTAAAGTTACATTTATTATATCTGTTGTACTAGTTGAATGGTAAACACTCGAGTTAGATTTTAAATCCGTGATTGATTTCCACTGATTGCAGTGTCAAAATAAACGTTTTTCGACATGTTTTCCTCTGGATAAGATTTTCAGGACTAATAAATTTTAAGGTATCAAAAAGATATGGCATGAAACTTTTGAGGAACTGCTGTAGTAATGGATGAATAAATAGTACTGCAAACCAAATAAATAAAAATCTATACTTATTTCCAACCAACAAGTGATTTAATAAGGTCCTGACTTTGGATTTAGGTGAGTTGCTACCCTTTTACATATTGGACTTCGTTGCGAGAGGGCAGGATTCAATTGAACATCTTTCCCATAAAAGCATTCGATGTTCTAATAAATAGCTACCGCCCTGAAACAAACGCGTGATTTTAATACCATAAAATAACCCAAGTTACTTAACGCAATTTTAATTACATGAAATATGCTAAAAGTATTAATGAATTAATACTTATTTAAAATGAATTACTTGGAAACCGACATTGTATTTTAGTTTGTATTAAGTTACCATCCTCTAGGACGAAAAAAAACTAACCGAGGCTGTGATGGGTTAAACGATTCATTAAATCCTAACACTTAAACTCTAAAGTCTGACCCAGGAAATTACTAAAGTGCTCAAGTCGTAACACTACAGCTTGATAAAAAGTTCTGGCATTCGTTAAACAAGTCACGCTGAATAATTTACTAACCTCTTGGTGTAGTTAGTTTTTACAATTTCTAAAATCTCTTTGCTTTATTTTTTTAAGTATTGGATGTCTTTCAGGACTTTGATGTGAAATAAACAAATTATCAGGATTTTATCTAGAAATGAATCATGAGTTTGACCTAATTCTTTAATAATATTTTCTACCTTTGTTCTATTTATAAGTTTTCAAATGTATTACAGGTATAGACGATTTATCTTAAAAAAAAAAAAAACAGGAAAGTTTAATTTCAAGGGTAAGTGAATTATGCTCTTTTAAATCCCTACCATACCATACGCTACATCTAAATACGGCTATATAATATGCAATCTAAAAAATGTAACCTTACAACCTCTTTAGAGCTGGCATTATTTTATTTTTTTCATATGGTCTTTAAGAAGTAA